GACAAGTGCGAGCGGTGAGACTGAAGAGATAGAGAGGAGAGAGAAGCGAGAGTGAATGAGAGGGATGAGGTGAGAGGGATGAGGCGAGAATGAGAGAGAGGTGAGAGTGATGATTTTGTTTGGTTTGGAGAATATAGTGAACTGCTAAGGTGGAGAGAGGAGATCGAGAGGAGAGAGAACTTGTACTTTCGAGCTATTCGAGCTCGATATATTCGAGCTACGGATCATTTTTGAATTGCAATTTATCCTTTTATTTTCAAAGAATAGGAATCATGCGCAACGAAACAAAATTAGGCCATGTTTGTTTAGGCCTACATAACCTATGTTTGGTTGAATTTCTCATATTAGCTTTCTCATGGGAAGGGTAGGATTCTTAATCCAATCTCATGAGATTCGGTGTGAAAAGATAATTATAATTAATGAATCTAACTATCTTCAATTACATGAGGAATGTAGAACACAAGTAAATATAAATTTAATTACTGTATTTGGTTTCAATTTTCTAGATATTGGGTTTTTTATTTTTCATTTTATTTTTTTATTTTTAGTGAATATTTTTAAAATTTTAAGTAATTTTTTTTTTCCTTTTTTAGATGCACCTTACTTGAATGTATCTAAAAAGTAAAATATTTATAAAAAAATATTTTAAAAATATTTAAAAAAATTAATAAATACACAAGAATATGAAAAATGTACTTAATTTTTATATTTTTTGTATTTTTAGTGTTTAATGAATTTTAAAAAAAAATCATAAATATTATATTTTTAAATGTATTTATATTAGGTGTATCTAAAAATTAAAAAAAAAAATTAATGAAAACAAAAAATACAAAACATCAAAATATTTTATCTTTTGAAAAATGAATTCAAAAAATTCAAATCAAACACGCTAAATATTTTTTAAAAGTTAGAATACATGGACAAGAACACCCTCATTTTTTAGATAATAAAGTTGGCCCGTAGGAAACCATCATCATCGTATATTTTTTACTTTTTAAAAAATTATATATTATAATAAAGTAAAAGTAAAATATGTTAGTACACTAAAAATTTGGTAGATACAAGTCTAGAAATTGTAGGACATTATGTTTGCTAAAGGTAGAAAAATAATTCCTTAATTTGCAAACTCATATTTCATCCTAAAGGGAGAATTATACTAACAGTTTTTATATCTTGAGACTTGTGTTATTATGATCTTTAATTTTCTAATTATGTTATATTTGATTTTAAATTTTAAATTTTATTCCAAATAAGGATAATAAAAAATGTTTCTTTTACAAATGATCAATTTCAATAACAAAATTGTCATACAACTTATTTTGTGTTGGTTAAATTGTATGTTGTTTGAAATCTAATGGCCCTTTTTTTAATGAATAATGTTGGAACTTTCTTGGTTATAAAGTTTTATTTGGTTTGCTTTTCAAAATCTATTTTTAGAAATTTTTCTAAGAAACTAAAAATTAAATTGGTAAAAAAATTAAAAATACATCATTTTTATATAATTTTATCTTTTGGAAGAGTAGAAATAATTTTTTTAAATAATTTTTTATTTTCGTTAAATTAGTTTTTATTTTTTTCAAAAGTCAAATATAACGATAATTTTGATGTCATTATTAAACCAATCCATTAAATTAAAAAATTCAAAACTAAAAATGTTTCATATATTAAATATAATCGATTATACTCCATTACATGATAACTATAAAAACAATCAATAAAAATAACCACTCATTATATAATCATCATCCAAACGCATATTAAAAACTAATTTCATAAAAAAATAAAAAAATAAAAAAGTAAAAGTTTTATCATTTTTATATAATTTTATCTTTGGAGGTAGAAATAGTTTTTAAAAATTGAAAAATAATTTTTTGACATTTAATTTTATCAAACTAGTTTATATTTTGTCAAATTGATGACTTTGCCCTTGAAATGGAACAATGGCGTCTTCAATTATTTTTATTTGGAATGAGATTTAAAATTCAAAATCAAATGTATCACAATTGAAAAATTAGGGATCAAAGTGACACAAGTCCCAAACTACATGAACTATTAGATAATTCACCCTAAAAAATTGTAATAAAATAATAGTGCCTTTTTAAATAAAAAATAATAATATTTCATTGTAAAGATAAATAAAATCTCACTTATAATTAGATTTCCATCCAGTATAATATGTGAACAAAAAGGTTTTTAAAAAAAAAAATCCATTGAAACGATAATAAAAATAAAAACATAGTTCAATTTATTTCAAAACATAAAAAATAAAATAAATCAAAATACCTCAAATCAAAATAAATAAATAACATTATTTAGAATTTTATAGTCACGATGTGCAACGATGGATCTTGGGGGTTGGGGGCGGCCTGTCACGTCCCGCCGAATTACCAAGACAAAATTACATATCAAAAGAAAGTCTCAAGGAAGGGAGAATAATGGAATATTCTAGAAGTTCCTAGAAAACTTAAGAAAATATGAAGACTATGCAGGATGTTGGAAGCTTCTAGAACTCCTTAGAGTTTTATAGAGAATTGTACATACTTGTAGATATTTGTAGATCCTTCTAGACATGTACATTCTAGAGTGATTCTAGAATAATCTATAAGATGTAGTAGGAGAAAGGATCTAGAATCCTCTCCATCATTGTAGATCTAGAACATTCCTTGTAGCCTACAAAAATAGGGAGGGCCTCATTTGCCCAAACCACCCAAGTGCATCCAATAATTGTAAAGCTTTCTCTCAAATGTAAATACAAGGCATTCTCTCAAACTCTCTTATATTCTTCTAACTTCTCTTTCCTATAAATTTGTGAGTTAGGCTGACTTAGCATCGTCAAGTAAGACTTGAGTTTGTCTAAGTGCCGCACAAACAGTTTGGAAACAACCATGGCCGTGACAGGCCGCACCCAAAAAAATTTGAAAAATATCATATATTATATTAGAAATTTTAAAATAATTTAAAATTATAGGAGTTTGTACCCCTAATTTTTTTTAGATAATTTCAAAATTATATAGAGTAGCCTCCCATTTTTTTAAACTATAGAGTAACCCCCTAAATTATAATCCTAGATCCATCCCTGACGGTATATATTGCAAATCCTCCCTCTCACGTTGTTTTATGCTCTCATATTATGTTCTTATTATAAAATAAAATAAGTAAAGCATTTAATATAAAAGGATATTTTGGGTCTCTATGTGAAAAGAAAATTCTTTAACCACCTTTAAATTTTTATAATTTTCTATATAAATACTTTAGCCTATTTTGGCATTTAGGTTAAAAGTTATTTTTTCAAGTTTTTAGTTTTTTTAGGTCATATTACCTCTCTATTTTTTTATATATTTTTTCAAAAAAATTTAAAAATTTAAAAATGTGACTTTTAATCTACCTTCCAACGATTTGATTTGGTTTTGGGTTCACCTAATGACTTCTCATTTACCTAGTGAACTAAAGAATCGCACCAAACAGATCCTTTTGTGTTGGATAGGTTTCATTTTTTAGTGCATTGATTTGGTTGTGAGTTCTCAAATTATCAAACAGGTATGATTAGATTGGTTCTTAATTTAAGCCTTATCTAAACCGAATCAAATTGAAAACCGAACCTATTTATATTAACATGTCTTCACATAATTAGTTTATTACAATAAATTTGATTGCACCTAATAATTTTTCACATGCAAGAATTATTAGGTGAACAGAATATTAGAAGTTTGAATTTAATTTGCATTGGTTGTATTTTTTGATTTAAATTTGTATTTGTTATGTTTAAGCTCGAGTTGAATTTAATGCGAATTGGCTTGTATTAAATAATATTTTATTATTTATTTGTGTTATGTTTAAATGTTAAAGACTTGTTTAGTTTAATTATTTATTATTGATTCATTCACTTATTTTTAATGTAATGGAACTGTGATTCTAATTTGACCCAACCCAAGTTACATTGGGTTGAATTGGGTTGGGTTGATTCTAGTGCATGATTTGTTTGGTTCTTAGTTCAAAAACTTAGAACCAATCATGATTAAGTTGATTCTAAATTTAGTTTCAAACTGAATCAAACCGACTCATGAACACTCTTAGGGCACATGTTAACAAAAGTCAATATAATTTTGGCCCTACATTATAAAAACAACAAAGTTAACTTTTATATAATTAAAACTTTTACGTAATTTCATAGAGCGCTCTAATGTCATCACACTAAGAGCATCTCCAATATTTTTTCATCAAATTTAAAAGTTTGATCTGATATGATGCACTTTAACGATAAGCGAATTTTTTCATCAAATCCAGTTGGTTGTCCAGCCTAGAATAAATTTTCAGTTGACAAACATATTGTCCTGCCAAAATTCGGTTGTCTAGCCGGTTGTCCACATGGTCGTCCACCAACGGTCACTTATAAAATTTGATAAAAGGATAAAAGCTTTTTTAATTTGATGAAAATATATGTGTACCTTCATTTGATATGAGTTTAATGAAACGGTTGGAATGAAAAAAGTAATCGAATTCAAATTTGATGAAACATCTGAGTAAGGATTATAGGTGGTCTAATACACAAACAAATATACTTTATTTTATATTTTCAATCTAATATTACCACATTAATAATCTCTTTATTCAACTTTACCATTTTTATAATCTCCTACATGCTATTTTAGTAACTTTTTTATTTTTTGGCTAAAATATGAGATAAAAAAATTAGTATGTTTGGAATGACTTTTTAATTTTTTTACGAAAAGATGTGCCAAAAATAGAGAAAATTTTTTTTTTTGACTTTTTAATATAAGTTGTTGAATTTTTGGGCCAAACAAACAATGGTTTATTTAAAGTGGATTTGGGGGTTAGGTGGAGGCTATTTTGGTTACAAAAATAAAAATAAGCTTTTTAATCTTAAGGTTAAAAGTTGTCACATTAACTCATAATTATTTTATTTTTTCTTTTATAAAAATAAAAAAAATTAAAAATTCATCCCAAAGAAAACTATTTTAATCCAAAACAATAACTAAAAATTAAAAACTCAACCTAAATCCAAAAGAAGGTTAGGATTTTGGGAGTAGCGATTTTAGTACTAGGGTTTTTCTAAAGCTTAACAGAGCTCGTTTTATCGTCTTCAATTTTCCTCTGCTTCTGCAAAACCCTAAAAATTGGCCAGTCGAAGAAGAAATGTCGGACTATTATATGCCTCAAGAATTGTTGATTGATATCCTCACCAGACTACCCGCAGAGACTCTCCTTCGATCCACACTGGTTTGCAAGTCATGGTACTCCCTCATAACATGCCCTAGTTTCATCTCTCACCACCTCAATCGAACCATTTCAAACCCTAACAACACTCGTCTACTACTTAGGTACTGCACTGAAGAACCTAACGAAAGAGAGCACTACTCGGTACGTTGCGACGATCCTATCAACAACACATTCAATGAGCACGCGAAATTCAAATTTCCTTTCCATTGCATAGACCCTTATTACTGGATTGTTGGTAGTTGTAATGGGTTGATTTGCATTTCTGATGATCAGTTCTATTATAAGCATACTACGTTTTTGTGGAATCCAATGATTAGGAAGTCTGTGCTGATTCCAAACCCTAATATTAGGTTTACTTCACATGGCCCCTTTACGCATTCTTTAGGGTTTGGGTTTGATTCAGCATCTAATGACTTCAAAGTTGTTAGAATTGTGCATCTTCTATGGGAATGTGACACAGTTCCACCTGAGGTTGAAATTTACACTCTAAAGACTGGAATTTGGAGAAGCCTAAGTGATAAAGCTCTTCCATTTATTATTGAAGATCAATCGCAACAAGCTTATATCAATGGGGTTTCACATTGGGTTGCTCACACTCCAAGGGATGTTGGGCTTTTTCGAAATTTGATTGTATCTTTTGACATGAAAGATGAGGTGTTTAGGGAGGTATCATTTCCAGATGGTATAGCTGGCAGGGACGAAGTCCTGCAAACTACAAGCCTTGTTGTGTTTGAGGAAACCCTTTGTCTGATCCAGCATTGTCAATATCAAAATGACTCACATTGTTGGATATGGGTGATGAAAGAGTACGGTGTGGTAGCATCGTGGGTTAGACAATTCAGATTCGATCTTCATGGAGTATTGAGGAAGCCAATTGGGATGAGAAAGAATGGTGACGTCCTTCTAGCGACGAGTGAGGGATATTTGGTTTCATATGACCCTGAGAGCAAAGGAATTGTGAATCTTGGAGTAAGTGGTACTATAAAATGCCAGTATTGGCATTCATTTTATGTGGATACTTACATGGAGAGCCTAGTCTTGCTAGATAAAGGGGCAGATTTTTGTGATACGGTTATAATCAATCTGTTGTGTGAAGAAAGTGAAGGGGACTGATGGAACCAAGGAATTGAAAAAAAAATCAGAAGCAGGACAAGTGCAGGCAAAATACAGTGTCCTAACCACTCTATACTTTTTGCACCTTATTAGAGTATTCACTATTGCTTAGGTTTATTCTTCTTAAAAATGCATGATATTGATAAGTAACTTCTATTTCAATTCTAGTATGCTGTTGGATCAGATCATTTACTTTTTCTATGGAATTAATGTCTTTTGAGAATGCCTTGAATACTGAAAAGTTCAGCCTATGCCATTATCTCTCTCTGGATTTCCTTTTACTGAAATGTTCATCATTGGCAAAGAGCACCTTGATTTGTATTTTCGGACATTAGTTATGCAAGCATGATATTTGCCAAATATCTTCTTTAGTCCGTAGTTTGGAGATTTTCTTTCTTAACATTTGTGTGATTGTTAAGTAGAATTGGCGAAAACTAGACAAATCCAGACCTTTTTTTGTTCAGTTTTGAGGATTGAGTTGTCTGTAATATGTTTCTCTAAGAAAATATGGAAACTTTTTGTATACATATGTTTTTCTTTTTTAATATTCTAGCTGGAAAATAGACAACAGAAAACATCACACTGATGTTTTCATAAACTAGTTTCTACTAAATTTTCTAAATAAATAGGTTTTGGGAGCAGTCAACCTAAAATATTCTTAATGTTGTTTTCTATTTCTTGCTATTCTAAGAACAAAATGCATTGACCTCCCCTGATAATTGGGATAATTGCACTGACCCCACTAATTTGTGAAAATTACAATCGATCTCCAATTCACTACTAGCAAAATAAACAGAAGTAACTGATGTGATAAAATTATTTTTTAGCCTTAGATCAAATGTAATATTACTTTTTAGCCTTAGATCTACGTAATATTATTTTCAAAAGAAAAAATCATGCATTTTTGGTAAGTAAAGCATTCATATAATGAAATGATAAACTTGTACATATTACCTGAGGCACATCCAGGAAACTTATACAGGAAAAAACCAACCCTAGATCATTCAAAAGCAGATCCAAAACTAAAGTCATATGCACACTTAAATCAAAACAAAAAACCAAAATTTCTTCTTTACCTCCACTGTCTTCCCCCACCATTCTCAATGGTTTCTGGCGAGACACCAGACACAACCTTCTCATAGCCTCAACACGAACCCCCATCTCCCTCCATCTCCCTTTCTTTCTCCTCTGCCTCCTGCACCCTCACCACCACCGCTGTCAAACCTACCCGTACACAGAACCCTCTGTTTTCTGTTTATAACACCGCAACAAATTAGCACTCAATGACTCATTGGGGTTCCATATTAAACTGCAACCACCTGGGATTTAGTGGGTATTATTTGGCACACAAATTGAATATGGATGGAGCAGCCGAAGGCAACCTAGGTAAAGTTTCTGTCGGGTTCTCCTAATTGATTTTCGCGCTTTCGGAGGATCGAAGAGGGCCAAAGTGCTATGGCTTTGTTCCATCTTTGCAACTTTTTGGGTTCTATCGTTGGAAGGAAATGCGTGGTTGTTCAAAGATAAATTTCAAAAAGTGGACTAGTTGTGGAATAAAGATTGTCACTTAACTTTCTTTTGAGCTTTGGGGAACTCTCTCTTTAAGGGGGTTTCACTTTTTTTGTTAGTTAAAGATTGGTTGTTGGCATGTGACATGTAGGCTTTTGCTTTAGATAATCTTGTTAGGTTATGTATTTCACATTCTCTTTTTCCTTTTGTATAATGATGCATTATCCTCGTTTTTTTTTTTTTTTTTGCTTTTTTAATTTATTGATAAAATCTTTTGTTGTTGATAAAAAAAAAATAACAATAATAATAATAATTATTATAAACTGGTATGGGCAATGGCTTGGGGGATTCAGCTGCAACATTGGCACTACAACTAGTGTTCCACATAACTATGGGATTCGAGGAATGGATTACAACTAGTGCTTGATCTTAACCCAAGGAACTTGGATGTGGAGACTGATGCAAACTTGATTTGGTAACTTCTTACGGCACTACAACAAAAACACAATTTAATGACATTATTAAGTGGTATGTTTTTAGAAAATATCAAAAAAATAATATTTGGTAACATATTTTAGAAAAATGTCACAAAATCACAAACAAAAAATGCTCTAGTGGTATTTTAATAAAGAAGTGCCACATCACTATAATATGAATGTGATTTTGTAGTATCAATTTTATGGAATTTTATAAAAGAATGACACGAAAAATTATTTAAGGACATTTATTAACAGATGTTACTAAACTAGGTAAGTGTAAATTACTTTTTATGGCATTGGGTGAAAAGTGTCATAAATAAATATTTTTATGGCATTTTGAGGGGAACTCTATTTCCACACAACAAATTTTCTCAATCCACACACTTAATGAATCTTTTTTATGTTACATTTTCATCCTAAAATACAAATACCAAAATATCCTCGTCTTTGCAACCGAAATCCGAAAGTCCTTGGCCTCCTCTTTGACCACCCTAATCATGCTCTCCACCTCCGGTGAACCTCTCCACTGCCACTACCATTGCCGCCATCATCCCTATTGCCCATTTACTCTGCAAGCACCATCATCTCGTTACCAATTTTTATTGTTGCCGTTGTTGCAAGGAAAAAAAGAAAAAAAGAAAAGTAATTAGCAGTCAATTTCTTTAACTGGACACAAAATCTTAGGATGTAAATAAGAGAATGTTTCAGTGAAATGACCATAAATGTGTTATTTATCATCAGAGTTGAATTATCTTTGACTGGAAAGGAAGAAATTTGTTGTCAATGATTCATGGTTGTTAAAGAGTCAAAAATACCAACTTTACTTGTTGGCAGGGATTGCTAAAAAGTCACTGCTGTTATAAGTTAAATGAATTTCAAAATTATGAACGCATTACATTTAGGTTTATTTAAAATAGCTTTCCTGAAGCAAATTCTTATCAATTGATGTTTTATTATCTTTAACTTCTTTCAAATTTCTACTCTCTCAATAAACCGAATTTATCAATGTAACTCATGAATTTCTTATCAGGGGCCCGCCAAACATAGAGATATACATACAAACAACTACCTATCAATTTGCATCAGATTTAAATGGGCCAACTTCATGATTAAAATTTTTAATTTTTTACTTTTCAATAGAATTATAAAAGATATAGGGTTGGGATTAGGGTTTGAATAAGGAGATGAGGGTATTTTTGGTATAATAAGTTATTTATTGAGTAAAACATTAAATTTCAAATTCATTAAGGGTGTGCTCTAACAAATAATGTGTACAGAAAATACTTAGTGTGGAAATAGAAGCTCCAATCCCACTAAGCCAAAATCTTTCCAAACCATCTAATGGTATTTTTTGGAAAAAATAAAAAACGCCAATATACTCTCAAAATTTTGTAAAATGCACAAAATATTAACTAAAAAACATAAAAATTTTAATTTTTAATTGAAATAAATTTTTGACATCATCAAAAAAGTGTTAATCGATGATTTATTAATAAAATTGGCCATTTATTATGAAATTGGAAACTTCAAGGGACATGATTTGGTCTTTGTATCATTTTAGTTCCTATAATTTCAATTGATTCAATTTTGACCATGAATTTATGAATTTATCTCAATCGATTCCAATTGCTTATAATTAGCATTTTTTAATAAAAAAAAATATACATATAAGTGGCAAATATCATTTTTTAGAGGCAAAAATATAAATTTGCTCAGCTCAGTGAGTTAACCTCAACCAATTCAATAATCACTTTTCGTCAAAAACACTAACAATATTACTCATTAGATCAAATGGACATAAAATCTAAAATTAAATATCAAATTTAATCTAATTAAAAGTGTAGAGACTAAAATTAATATTTATTTATTTTATTTAAAGCGTGAATAAACTTATTTAACAATAAATAACTTTATTTTTGGTACTTCACCTCATTACCATTCTTGGTGAAATTCTAGGACTTAACTTTGGGAGGTAAATGTTCTGTGTAAAAAAATTCTGGGAGGCCAAAAAGTTAGGTTAAAAAAATTCTTCCCAAGCGAATCCTATATATTCCTAAATTAGTGCCTTCCTATCTAAAAACTTTTTAAATTTTATTTCATTTACCATTTTTAAATTTCTATTTAGTAGCTATTTTTATAATTTAATTATACCCATTTATGTAACTAGTGACAAATTAGTCATTTTATATCATACGTGACTTGATGAGGGAAATTATTAGGTACTCTTGGAATTTCACGTATCTGTACTCCTTCACCAATTATCATTCACCATGCCCCTTATATTTATCAATCACAATAATCACCCAATAAAATTTCACAAAACAAGTTGGGTGTTTGACCTTTCCAAATAAAAACCCAAAGCATGAAATAAACTGAAACCTAAATCCTTGACGTGTCAGATTATGAATAAGGATTAAGAGTATAACAGTCCAAAAACCAACAATATGTATTCTAAAAGGATCTTATAGAAATATCATTTTGACTCCCTATATTATAAAAGCATATAAATGGATCCCCTCAACTATTGAGAAGCATCACTTTACCCTCTAAACTATAAAAACGTACAAATATTCCTAAATTATAAAAAAATGTACAAATTGGACCGTTAACAGAAGGGGTCAGAGTAAAACACGTCAATAGTTTAAGAGTTCATTTATACATTTTTATAGTTTAAGGGGACAAAGTGATACTTCTCAATAGTTTAAGGAGTCTATTTGTATGCTTTTAATGTTTAAGGGGTTAAAGTGATACTTCTCTAATACTTCTCAATAGTTTAGAGGGTCTCTGTATACATAACCCTTTTGAATAATCCTATAGACATTAACACTCTCACTAAGAATCTTACTACAACTACAAGAGACTAAATATGATTGGTTGTTGAAAAAGTAATGATTCTTGCACATCCAATAATATGTGAACACACATTGAACCGTTTTGGAAAGATTAGTAAAAAGGAGCATTTTGTTGAATGTGAAAAAAGGCAGAGGCAGCCGAAAACGCAACAACACCATTTGGGAAGCGATAAAAACACTGCCCTATGAAATTACGTAACTACCCTCCATGTTAACAAATTGGGGCCTAGGGCAAAACATTAGCTCATTCTTTTCTCCTCCCCGCTACTGTGCTTTCCTCCTCTTGCCACTACCCTACTCTACAACTCCCTCCAACAACGCACGACATAGCCGTCGCTGGCCGACGTTGCCTCCGAAATTATCGTCCATGTACTCGCCGTCACCGGATCTATAGGATTAGGTAAGCCTAGAAACCTTCTTCCGTTATTGTCTATTCACAAGTATGTGCTCAACAATTTGCATGGAAAATTCGTTAAAAAAACAAGGGATCAGCCATGGCTATAACACTTGTATGCTGTAA